AACAACACGTCCGCGGCTTCAGAAGAAGCGCAGCCTAAGCTCTCGATAATCGGGTACTGCGCAGCGCATTGTCAGCGACAGGGTCGCACGACCAAGAACAAAGACGCGATGTCTATACCCAACCGCGCACCGCGCCCGCTACGGGCGATTGGTTACCTCGTCGAGAAGTTGGATGAAGTCGACTAAGAGTCGGATACTCCTTTCCTAGGATGGGGAGAAGAAGAGGGCGAGGTGCCCCAGCGGTGCGACGTGAGCCCTGCTCGAAACTTGCGGATTTGCGGACGTCGTGTCAGGTCCCCGAACTCTCGAGTACCGGGGAATGTGGTGTCATTACCAATCACCTCGACGATGCACAGAAACAGCAGCTGGATGCTGTCTGCAGGGCGGCTCCCATGCGTGCACATCCACGGTCGGTCCTTGACCCTCGTGTGGAATACGGCTTCCGCTCGGTGGCTCACGCTACAGAAGCGAAGGATGTGATCACTCGATCGTTGGACGTCTACGTGATTGGACTACGGCCCTACACAAGCTGAGCTTAAAGAACGGAAAGCTCTCCGAGCTCGCTACTTGGGCCCTCAAGAAATCCCGGTGGATACGTACCGCACGCGACTTTATGCTCAAATAGGAGGCGCTCCTGTACCCGCGATACACCAACGCTTCCGCGTTCGCTTGTGCCGGATCCCGGTACGGCTTGAGCAAGCTCACATAAGAAACGGGTGGGTGGGCATCCCTTTCGGAAGGTTTAACTTTTACGCAAGGCCCCGCTTGGCCACACTCTTGAAAGGGCCGAAAAACTGTAGACGGAACTTCGTCTTAAAGACAGCAGAAATTGCATGGATAGAAAGGTTTTAAGCATTTAATAACACCAAGTCTCTGACCTCAAAGTCTTTGACATTTCCTCTACCTCTTCCGTCTGCATATTCTTTCCGCGTGTTTTGACTTTCAGCCATTGCATCGCGAACGTGTCGTAAGACACTCAGTCTGGTAGACAGGAAGTCATTGACTTCCTTACGAACAGTAAGGGGGCTGACATCAGTCAGCCGCTCGGCTATTCCTCCCCCATCAAGCGGATGGCGGTGTCAGCGGAACGCAAGGATGAACAAGCTCGTTCAAGTAGAACGGCGTGTAGCTGGTAGACGAATGCACTGCATTGTTTAGAGCAAACGCTACGAGTAGCAAGATTGTGCTCCGGTGCCTCAAATTATCAGCGCAGACACTGTGAAGGACGTCCTCGACGAAGCGATTCAGGCGCTTAGTTTGACCATAGGTCTGCGGATGGTCCGCTGTTGACATATCCAGCTTGGTGCCCAGCACCTTGAAGATCGTCGACCAAACCTTCCCAGTGAAGCGTGAGCCTTTGTCAGAGACAATTGACTCTGGGAGTCCATATTATCGAAAGAACGATCCCATCAGCACCGCTATACCGACACCACCGCAAGATGAGCCATTTTGCTCAAACGGTCGACGAAGACCACGACACCCGTGTTGCCCGCCGAATCCTTCGGGAGGCCAGACACAAAGTCCATACTCATGGACTGCCAACACCCAGAGAGTACCGCCAAATTGACCAGCGCCGCCGCCGCATTCGGAGAGAGTTTCACCCTTTGACACGTGCGTACATATGTGCTCGTCCATTTGTACAGCTCGGGCCACCAGCAGTGGCAACTCACAGAGCTGTAGGTCTTTTCACGGTCGAGATGACCACTGAGTGGGTTATCGTAGAGAATACGGGAATTTAATTCCTCATCGTGAGGAACCACATTTCGTAGCGTATCCGTCAAATTAGTTCTATAATACAGCGTTTCGTAATTCAACGAATATTGGTGCAACAAACAACGCAATTGCGACGACACCTTCTTGTCCGGGTTTCCAGATAGCCCGTAGCAGCGCTACGCACATATCATCCATCACCCACGTACGCGGATCAAATCAGTCACTGAGACCACGAACGGCTTAGGGCCAAGCAGGCTAACCCCATACTAGACAAGTGCAACTTTATCGCAAGTAATTCCTTGTCGCGATCTGGGTAGTTCTTCTCTGCAGCCTTGAGCTGGCGAGATTCGAACGCAATCACCTGATCTCGCTCTTCGGCGTCTGCTATGCAGCAGTGCATAATCGATGGCAAAGTCCGAAGCGTCACAGACGACACTTCATAGACGATCAGGGTCTGGCAAGGTCAGTATTGAAACTTGAAGAAGGCTATCTAAGGCTCCGTCAAAAGCCTCCAGCTGCTCCGTGTTCCAACAGTATTCCATTTCTTTTTAAAGGAGAATTGACAATGGCCGTGCCATTTCCGCATAAATTGCGCTATACTTGTGCATGTAGTTGGCGAGGCCAAGCAACTTGCGCAAGTTCTTTTGGATCTTTAGAATCGGCCACTTCACAATGGCCTTTGACCATATCAAAATCCGCTCGAAGCCACGCTTCCCAATGAAGCATCCTAGAAAGGGGATTTCCTCCGCGCCAAAGATGCACTTATCC